TGTCATACATGCCTTGCTACTGACATTTGAAATAACATGAAAGATATTTAAATATTCAGTTGACAGTTTCCTGTGCTAAACTGGTTTTGAGCACCATATTTGATTATGTCACATTATTATTGTGATTTTTCCCATTTCAGGTAAACTGTGTTGCAGTAAGATCCACCTAATGTTGTCAGGCAGTCTAACACTGGTGTATTCTCCAAAGCATACATTAACACCTTTCATCAATTAAGAAACCACTGAGCTGAGCTCACCTTCAAGTAAAACTGCAAATGAATCAGGCCCATATTTGAAACAACTCTCCAACCACATCAAGGATATACTCTGTGTGGTTGTTATAAAGCTTCTTAAGCATCACCTGAATTATCAGTGACATATGGAGTCATTGTGAGCATGCTTCAGTTGACAAATTTGTCTTGCATCAGATGCATCACTTGTATAATCTGTCTTTCTGCCGTGTATAATATGAGTCACTTGCCCACTTTGTCTGAAATGCAGTCAGAGTTGAGCTGGTGTGACCACTGCAGTATTACCCAGGGGTCTCCAGGGGTGCATGGGACTGGGCCTTCACAGGGAGAGGGGAAGGCCAGGGGACAGGCCTGTGTGAACAGCTGTGCCCTGTTTTAGATCCTCGTACTCAGTTACCTCTTACTCTTTGAAGAAGTCTTCCCTTACACGCTTTCACACATGCAGCATGCATTAGTGGAGCAGGGCTCAGACACAACTGCACAATGAAAAGTTCAAATGCCAGAACTTTGATTTCTCAATTAAAGTAAGGTCCATGTTTGCTTGGGGTTTTTTGTTGTTGTTTTGTTTGTTTGTTTTGTAGCTTTAAAATAGCACTTTAAATAATCTGTTGTTTCAATAAAAATCAATGAATAAGACGTATTGCCTGTGAATGTTTAAAAACGTGAAAAGCCACAGGTTGTTTCAGGCAGCATGTATCATATAGTCATTGTTCTACTGTAGCACATTGCCATTATAAGAGGACATGCATATTGCAACAAGTCCTATTTTTAACAGCTGTTGTCTTGACATTTCTGTGTCTATTGTTGAAACCTTGAAATAATCAAATGCACAACAAAAGTCACTTAAAAGAAAAAAACATCCGCTCTGCCTGATAATCACAGTTTCCCATGTAGGAACCTCTTACAGTCCATCATGGAGCTGTAAATACCATTTTTGCATTGGCCTACTCTTGTTGGGTTGCCTTTACCGGTCACATTGGCATGATATGTGCTGCTATGAGTTTTTTCATTCTTAATACATGTTTAAGAAGAACTTCTCTTCGTTCCTTTTGAAATTAAATATGTCCTCCATACCTGAAATGAATTAAGTGTGCAGTTTGCAAACTGATTTTATTGGCATTGAAGTGTAAAACTACAAAGTTCAGGGGCATTTCAACCGACCAGTGTTTAAACAGATGGGCAGTCTAATTTATTAATGAAGAGTCACTGTTGGTAGCTTCAGATGTCTGCCATTGATCCAAAATTATCCATTGACAAATGCATGATGATACTCAATGACTGCAAGAGTAAATGTTGGTACATAAATAGAATAAAATAACAGCATTGATATATAATACTTGAATAAAACAGATTGTCAAGTTTTGAATTTATTAGTGGCATTTCTTATTCCAGAAGTGTTCACTGTCGTCTTTGGTGAACAAAGTGAACAATTGTTTGAAAAAATGCATGACGTCATATAAACATATCATTCAAATATACAAAAAACTGAAATCCACAAACTGGTTGCTTTGGTACGCATTTTTTTAACACAAATACAAAAAAAATATTTCAGCGTGAAAATCCAACCTCTGCCTTGATGATATCCTAGTGTCCTGTTGATTTAAAGATATTCACACAGGTTCATTAGCTAACTCGCTGTAACAGTGACCGAGTCAAGACCCTCTCCCAGGGTCACTGGATCATCGGTATGTAACTTACGCTGTACCAAATTTAAAGCATCTAATATGTCTGCATGCTCCTGATGCTTTCAGAGGTTTGCTTCACATGAATCTGTTCCAGCAGCGAGCATGGCAGAGCAGACAGCCTCACTGACTTATGAGCCAGCTGGGTTTTCTTTTGCCTTGATTGAAAATTGCATGATTCAAATGGAGCAGTACTCTGTAATAACAGTTTTCTTTCCCTTGTCTGACATGTGATTGAGTTACAAAAGGGAATGCATTTGCAACAGGTGCCTCTAACACAGTGCAGGCATGAGGGCCTCCACGTCTACCCTCAGTAACCTCCCTCTGCCCCAAAGCCCTGATCCTGCCAGGGAAATCTGATTCCAGTTCAGACACCGGCACAGTATGCTGCTGCAGCCAAAGCTTGGAGTCTCCACTGGAGCAACCTGGAGAGGTTCAGAGGTGTTCAAGTGAAAGCTGCATGTGTTTATTATGAAGTTTTTTAAAAAGTCAATGTGTCCATAGTTCCTGTTATAATACTGAAATAAAGAAACCCTTTATATAAGAGATACAGTTTTATATTTAAAGCCTTAGATTACATATGTTCCATTCAAACATAAGTAAGATAGTTATCAGGTTAAAGTACACTTAATATGAGTTAAAAATTTGAAAAGTCTTATTTAACATTTTAGCACAATACCGATGGTTGACTTGAGCATGGTATAATTTCATTTTACTGACAAGTTTAATATTGGGTTTAACTTTAGTTACTAAGCTTTCTATTGCCAACCAGCAGTTTTTACTACTAAACTTTTAAGTCTTTAATTATGTTTTTTTTTTTATTCTTACAAAGCCAAATCAAAGTAATAACTCACTTAAATTAAACTTGTGCCAGTAATTGATGACGGATGGTTAAGGGCGATTAGGGAATACTGGGTATATTAGTGTAACATTATGTCTGACTTCAGTCAAAATGGGTATTAGGGTAAGTAGTTGGTACAACTCTACATTGAAACAGGAAATCCATGTCATTTGCAGCCTGTCTTGACAAGACAAGAAACTTGAGATTAGGAGGTGCCAGAACCACGGAGAGGTCAGTGCGTAAGGGTTCACCTGTTGTGTCTCCAGCCAATGTGAAGGCCACTGCCTCTACACGTGTCATTTCTGTTTACTAAAACAAGCTGCTATAGGAGCTTTGCAAGTTCTAAAAAGCAGTAAGGGTTTTCTAAAATAACTACGAAAACATATTAGTGCGTGTTGCTTCACTAGTACATAAAAAGCAGGGGTTTCTGAAACTGACATCCAAGCACCCACAGTATGGTATTGCAGTCCCATTTCCCCAACTGATACCAGTGTAGAGTTCAAATGCTTAGTTAAAATATTGCAAAAGTGTTGCTATACTGTTTAGGAATTACACCATTTTACACAGTTTCAGAAGACCGTCAAAAGTAGCTGGACAATTTACCTACAAGCAGTTTCATAGACAGGTGAGGCCTGCACCCTCATTCTATGACACATTAAGCAGATAAAAAGATCTGCAGTTGATTCCAAGTGCTGAAACTGGATTTGGTAGCTTTTCACTGAAATTCTCAATATGAGGCCCAAAGAGATGCCAATGCAAGATAATGAACCCTGAAAACTGAAATAAGATTATCAGCGACTCAGAAAAAACTCTAGGAGTATCCAAATCAACAAGGTGGGTAAGGTATTCAAAAGAAAGTATGCAGTGCCCATCTCGGCTACACCGAAACCCTGTTGCTGTGTCCATGTTCTTGATTAAGGAAAACAACTTCATAACATCTAACACATCTAAGGTGAGAACACTCTTGAGGAGGTGAGAGTATCACTGTCAAAGTCTACAATCAAGAAACAACTTCATAAATGGATATCCAGAGTTTTTACACCAAGGTGTAAACCACTGGTTACACTAAAGATCAAGAAGACTGGGTCAGAAAGTCAGAAAACAACCCAAACCATACTGCAAATGCAACCCAAGAGTTTCTTGAGGCAAAGAAATGGGATACTCTTCAATGGCCAATTCAGTCACCTGGTCTTTGTCATTTACTGGGGACAAAACTGAATGCATAAAGACCCACAATCAAGTCCTGGCAGAGCATCTCAAGACATGACACACAGTGTTTGGTGAAGTCCGTGGGTTCTAGACTTCAGGCATACTTAAAGACCAAAAATATCCTAAAGTTGTGTTGATCTGAACACAACGCAGCCAGAAAACCAGCTACATGGCCCTGAGCCCAATATAATGTGTAATTTCTATATGTAATAATGTTTCTAACTTAACACAATTCTTACATATTTAAATACTTAAACTACTAGTTTAAATTTGGAGCGTTTTGGTGCTTTGAATCAAAGCTAAAACTTCATCATGTGTGAATTTACTGTGATCAGCACTGCATTTATTCCCACCCAGCAAGGCAATGCATGTGATGTCATCACAAAACTGCAGAAAAACTGTATTTTCAGTAAGAAAAAATTCCTAATGAGGTCAATGGGTCAAAGATTAGATCTAATGCAAAATCGTCCTATCTGTCATCCTATGTAAATGCAATTGCAGGCTTTCCATGTTCTTGTAGTTTTATTATTTACTCATGTCTGTTTAGGTGAGGACAGACTGAAAGATGAGTGTCAGCATCATTATTTTTGTCTTATTTCTTTTATGCTATGTTGATGCTTTGTCTTCACTCTTCATAATCTCATAAACTTTATTAGATTATTGTCTAAAAATTTCTAGTTAAATTCCATGTTTGTGGCTCAATAAAAAAAAATGAAGTAGAAAACAAAATAAACAATGAAAATAATCAGACTTTTCAGCGGAGAAATAAAAAGCACATATTGGTGCATATGAGTTTCTCAATTGTTTGTTTTTGCTTTCTGTAAAAACTTTACATACTAAGTGCAGTGGGTGTGAATAAGTTTTTGTAACTTTAACTTAAAAAGAGAGATGGGTGTTTCGCCTTTAAGAGTTAAGAAACTTGAAACCTTGTTTGCGCAACAATCAGTGCAGCTCAGCCGCCAAAGTGTCTAGACTAGCACATGATGGTAGTCAGCCAATGGCTCCACCGCTCTCCTCGGGGGCCCCGTGTATGTGTGTGTGTGAGTGTGTGTGTGAGGAAGAGAGAGGAGGGGGGCAGAAAGAAAAAGAGCGAGAAACGGAGAAAGAACGGGATCTGGGCTGCAGTTTGGTTTAGATCTGAGCAGAGAAGCAGGAGCTCTACTCAGCCCCGGATCGATCGGCTTCGTAAAGCTCATTTCAGCACGCATGGACGTTTTGTTTGGATTTTAAAAAGAGAAGAAGTGCACTGACATCTCGAGAAGAGGGCAAGGATCCTGACTTTGCGCTGCATTTTCTTTGGATTAAAACGCATCGAAGTACCTCATGCTCTACGTGCCGGTGTAGAAAGTAGAACTGGGGTCGCTAAAAGTCGGGAACTGTTTGAGGCAGCGAGTTGTCGTCTTGCTTTGGAGGCTGTTGGCTTTGGATTATATTATAGAGTATATCACTATATGTTTTCATGTGTTCAGATTATTTTTTTATTTGCTTGTAAGAAAAAAAAGGCTGTAAACAGTCCATTCCACAGCGATCCAGGAGAATAAGTCACAGTTCCATAGCTTGTTTATTTACAGTATAATCGGCTGAATTCATGCCTTTTGATCGGAATGCTGCAGTGCATTTGTTGCTCGGTTTTGCTGTTGTAGATGCAACAAAATCTCCTTAATTCTAATGTTGCGGTTTTGCCACCAATGCTCGTCACTTGGCTGTGCATGCACTGCACGGCATTTCACCGTCATTAATGTTTTGCAACGACCGGAGAAGTGTCTTTAATATTAGGATATCCGTACAAGAGTAATAATAAAAAAATCCTTATAGATTTTCAAGTTGTCGTATGTTCAGGACGAAACGCTCAGGTCTTGTGCGGCGACTGTGGAGAAGCCGTTTGATCCCAGATAAAGAAGGAGAAGATGGAATTGGCAAATCTGGTGAGGGCTGTAGGGACGATCTGTTCAGCTACAACCCAGAGAAAATTCCCAAAACGGAGTTCAGACCGATGACCCCTAGCGGGTCTCTTGTCTTGGACATAGGGGGTGTGTGCCCCGTGGAGAGCAGCGACTTGAGGGTCACATCGGACCAGGATGGGGGTGCCGCGTGTGCCCAGGAGCAGGGCAGCCCCCGCTCGCTACAGGACAGCGAATGCAGGACGGTGACGTGCTGCTTATTTAAAGACCAGGACCACTCCGAGCTTAGGGGTGCAGAGACGGCTCAGGGCACCAGGGGTCCGGGGTCGTGTCACTTCGGGCTGAGGAACCTTGGACCAGGAGAGAGCGACTCTCCGGAGGCGCAGGAGGCGATGCCACGCACGGTATTAGAGCAAGAACTGAAATCAGCCACATACGCTCTTTTAAAACGGCTCAAGGAAAAAGCGCTGGATACCTTACTAGAAGCGGTGGAGTCCAGAGGAGGGATGCCGAGCGACTGTGTTATGGTTTCACGGACAGAGCTGAGATTCGGCGGCCATGTGGCATCCCCTCAGCTGCTTGTGTGTAAACTGTACCGCTGGTCTGACCTCCAGCACTCTGCCCAGCTCAAACCGCTCTATGAGTGTAGGAGCTTTGGGGCCCCGGACAGTCCAACAGTATGCTGCAACCCCTATCACTACAGTCGACTCTGTGGGCCAGGTAAAAGAGTCTGCCACACAAACTGCATGCATGTTGTACCACAAAGGCCTGCAATAGCTTAAATGACAACAAAGCACTAAGCATTTGGGCATCTGCACTTGTTTTGCATGAAAACGTTCCTCAAAGTTGTCTCTGTATTTTCACTTTGACACACCTTTACTGCACAATATTGCGTCTTTTCTTTAATTGCAACAATTTCATTTAACTTTCAAACATTTTCCATTTGATTTAAAGGCAGATCGTGTTAGAGTTACAAGCAGAAACCAGCATTATTTAGGGGTGGGCATTAAAGGGCCTTGGAAATTTTTCTGTCACACTGCCTTATTTGTCCTGTTGTTTGGCTTGGTTTCATACCCTGTGATAGAGAAAGGTTGGCCATTTGATTAAACAGTTAATGATTACCAAAGCCATCTTTACTGCAAGGTGAGCAATAATAATAAGTGCGAGCAAAGGGACATGCACGAAGATTTGACGAAGCATAAATGTGGGGCAGATTACTTAGATGATACCTTGGGTAATTTTATTATATTTGTGCAGAGCGTGTGTTGAAAACACGCCAGGATCTGCACAAATTTTTCAGCGGTTTATTGTGCCTGTCAGTTTTGACCCAGAATGTCAAATTTGAACAGCTCTGTTGTTGCAGAGCTCACTTCAGTGGCCTGTGACATCAAGTTTCCAATAAAGGGGAGTTTGTTTGTTTGTTCCACTGTCCATGTATACAGTACTGTGTGTACTGTGTAGTGTGTCTGAGCAAGTCGGTGCCTTCAGAGTGACTGCCAGTACCTCTGTTTTGACTTTTTGTGTATGACATGTATGTGGCTGTTTAGAGTTACTCAGAGGTACAGCCTCGCTGCTGTATGTCACTTTAAGTGGCGTGTGCTGGAGATTAAGCTTTATTTCCACAATCAATCAGCTATCTATGGCAGAACCTCCCTGACCTCTATTAAACGCATTAGATTTTGGCAGTGGACGGGGTCTACGATTTGAAAAACCTTAAACGCAGGGCCACTCGACCCCGCTGACCCAGTGACAACGCCTGGTATCATGTGTAAAGATGCAAGCGTTAGTATTTCTGTCCCTTCACTGGCACAGGAGGAGGATTTTCCATAACATCCATGTTTACTAGAGCCAGCTGGCTGTGACAAGCACTTCAAAGTCACAAGTTTAACAATATCAGAATTCATATTGAGCAAATGGGGGAAACTGATGTGGATTTTGGCTCTGGTTTCCTAACACGCTGTCCAAATCAATCAGAACCAATATATGTAACCTCAAGTTTGCTGACAAACCTTACTGTTTATTGGTTTGAAAAAGATCAGTTTGATAGACAAGAGTGTGATATTTGTTCCATCTGCTGAACAGTGAGCCTGTGCTGTGGGATTTTTCTTCTTTCTTATTTTTTTGCCCCCACTGAAACTACCAAGATGAATTATAAGAAGAGGGAAAGAGGCACGTACCCCAAATTGGGACTAAGGCTTGTAGTAGACATAGCTCACATGCGCTCATGCGTGGCCCAATAGAGCTGGTATTTCTTTCACACTATTCACAAGGGGTGGGGGGGGGCTTTGAATCAAGACCTTAATCACCGGGTTTTGACAGTGTTTGTAGACGGGAATGTAAAAAACAGGGTTTTTACAGGAATGAAACTCAGTAAAACAAACAGGTTTTAGTGTAAAAGAAGTCAGCCCTTTTGTAAAAACTAAGCTAAAAACATAACTGTAGCTCAGCCTACTTAAGATTTATCTAAAACTATAATACTGTTCAAAGTTTTACACACGGGATTTTAAGGAATAAAACTTTATAAAATGTGAAGCAGTGAGCTGAGATTGAAGTGGACAAAAAACTTTTCCCTTTTATTTCGCCAGGCATTATACTTTTCGAATGAGATCAGTTTCAAGTTGCGCTTTAAAAGCCCTTTTGTCCTGAGGAGGTCCCCTCATGCTATTTAGGTGAAGGAGTGGTGATAATATACAGTTTGCATACTACTGGCGCCAGACTGACTAGCTGTGTATCTGAGTGACTGAGTTCAGATCCTGGCAATTACTGCCGCCACTCTTAAAGGACCCACTGCTATTATGCTTTTCTCCTTCCCATTTTCCCTGTAGGCGAGGTCACTGTGTGCTCGCAAAGTTTTCTTTCCTTTGTGCTTTCCTTCTTCTTGTGCAAGTTACTTTCTTCGTTTCACCTTTTTATTGGAAAAAGAAAAAGTCAAGGCGTTGAACAGAATTAAGTTAAAAAGAGATTTACTCGTATTTATTAAAACACTAACTAAAAGTTAGGGTTAGTCTGTGGTCATATTAAAGACTGCTCAGCTTTAATAATATCTCCTCAAGTAACAGAGACAAATGAAGGGAGTGTTTCGCATTGGTTTATTAGCTTTTTAACTAGCGTTTGAAGAAAATGAATTTATTTTGTAGCGCAGACACAGAGCTGTAAGAGTCAAGGTGCAATCTGCCGTTTCCTCTGAAATGTTGTGTGTTGAAGCTTCTCTTGTGGCTTGACTTGAGCTGTGTATGTGAGCTATGTTTCTTGCTTTTACTGAAAACAAAAAGCGCAGCATGACTTCACACAGAATATAACGTCTGGATAGATCTTTGATACTAGAACATTATCTAAATACTAGATCATTATATGTGTATGCCTGTGTAAAGTATAGTCTATGCAAAACCTTACAGTTACCGGCCTCTAAACATTTTCACCAGCGTCAGAGGTTTTCACCCCCTAAAACATCTTTCTTACATCAAATTAGTGCTTAAAATACAAATGCTGTGTCGCAAATGTTAGATCTTCTGAAACCTAGCTCCACAAATCCATATTTTCTCACGACTGACTTAACCTTATGTTTTACCTTCCTTTTTTTTCCCTTTATAAGGTTATTGACATTACTGTTTTGTGTTACAGAGTCACCCCCACCTCCTTATTCAAGGCTTTCCCCTAATGAAGAACACAAGCCACTGGGTGAGTGACAAACACAGTTGAACTCTGTTGCGCCTCAGTTCCTCATCTTCATCTGAATCCTGCTATTAGCACTTGCACTTTCTCTGTTTGGGAGTGCTGAAGAATCGTTATGACTGATGTCTAATGATTTTTGTATTAATAAAAATAATACGAATTAAAGACCATCGGAGCCTGTAAATTGGAAATAGCACGGTCAGTCGCTGTTTTAACAGGAAGAAGCACAAATAGAGTAATGCGGAGAATTGTAATGGCTGTAACAGGGCACCATGACTGGCAATTTACATGGTAGCTTTGAGATGAGACCTGTGCCAGCTTGTGGCATAATGTCAGCATACCAGCTACAGCCAGGCAGATAGAGGTGTGGCCGGCCCATATAATTCAACCCTGCTCAGTGTGTATTTGCATGGGTTGTTTTGTTTGGTTTTTTTTATTGATGATCAAGAATTGCTTCAAATTCCTTTGAATGAGTTGATTGAATTGAATGATATAATCGCATTGGCCTTATTTATTACGGTCATGTCAAAATGATTCAACCCATCTCTAATATTGCTGTTTTTGAATCACTTAACAAATCTTTAACGCCACTGAATTGGTTCAAAATGCAGTTAATCTTTTGGTAATTCAATTTTAACGCGCTCATAGTGTTTCATTAGCAGACACAAATATATCTATGTAGGTGCTTTAGCTCTCTTCCCTGCGAAGAGAAAGAATAAATTATTTCATTTTATTAAAGCAAGCAGTGGTTTAACAGAAGACTAACCTGGGGCTGTACGATGTTCGGTGTATGAAGGGCAACACATAGAAAATACAACATGGAGATGAGTCCCTCACTCAGTGCAGTGGACTTCCAAGGAATTAAAGCTTGAGTGTTTTTTAAGTGTCTTTAAGTTTAAATCTGATTTGCAGTTTTAAATTTCATTTATAATACTGCATTCAGTGTCATAAGACCCTACGCCACGGCCTAACACAGAAATAACTATGTGTCATGGTGATGCAGGCCCCGTAGTAGTAATGCGCCATGTAAACACAGTGTATTGATTAGCACATGGTTAATAACTGTTACACAAAGTGTACTAGGCTGTAATTGTATCCAGCTCACAATACTAATGCAACAGCTAGTACTCTTCCAGTGTTTACATGTGCTGTTTCGCCATTTTCACAGCTCGGACAAACTGTGTATAAACTTGATCAGTTTTAATGTCTTCTCTCTTACCTTCATTTCAGTTAAAGTAATTGTTGTTAAATATTTATTATCTCTGAGTGGCAGAACAGTGCAGACATACCAGCACACGAGTACAAATGCAAACAATGACATCGCCCACTGTGTCTTAGACTCCACGCTGGCCTATAAATCAAGCTTTGTGCGGGATTTAAAGAAAGCGGTGGCAGCATGAAAAACAAATATTAGTGAGCTGGAAGCATTTGCACATGAGATGCAGGATAAAATTCATAAAGAGAGTTGTCAGGAGATTGTGAGACTACCTTTAATGCTTATTGGAGGGCACAAAGGCCAAAGGATAATGTTACTAATCACTGACTTTGGGGTCTGACTAATTTCGGTCCTGAGCTTTTTACTGTTAATCTCAGCGCTCTCCTCAAAATCAGTCAAATATGCTGTAATACAGAGAAACTGACTGTCTACAAATGCAGGTTTTCTGCTGTTGTATTAGCTTATTAGCTAATTATGAACAAGATTTAAAAAGAAAGACTTCTCAGAATTCTTTTTTGTATTACTAAATGAATGTTTGAGCAATGCTGTTTGCAGCTGTACTGTATGTACTACTCAGAGACTACACCACTGAGTGTCTCTGGCTGATGATAAGTAAGAATATGGATTACTTGCCTGCGTTGTTAGTAGATCAGGGGTTGATTTCTGCCTTATTCCCCACAGATCTGTCAGACTCCACATTGTCTTACACTGAAACCGAGGCAGCCAGCTCACCAAACATCACACCAGGAGAATTTTCAGGTACGTGTTTTTGTTTTACCTACAGTGGACAAATGAGCAGTTTTGACATGTTTTTTTTTTTTTTACCAGTTTCCCAAATTGATTAGTAGAGTTAAAATGCATGAAGTGCCAGTGTGTAAATACTGGTGTGATGTTAAATACGGTTGCTGATTATGGGTGGTCAGAAGTTGTCTGGATGTTTGTGCATACATGGATTTAGGTTGTGATTTCAGCTATATTTCCTTCCTGACTTACTTCTTAATATATGTGTGAACTGCTGTTTGAAGTAGTGGCACATCAGCTCTCACTAGCACTTATTACTCTGATTGATTCTAACACTTTCTGTTAGATGAAGTGATCCGTGTGGTAAAGATCAATTATAAATAGATTAGGCACTTTGCTTTCTTCCCCGAACTATATTTGAAATTGGTAGTTTGAGTAATAAAGATCATCATTTAGTTGTAAACAAGAGCGTCTTTCATGCTGATGCGTTTGCCTGTGGTTGCCCATGTTTTTTGCACAGTTGTCTGCATCTGAATATATGAAGCTAAATGCATACACTTGCATTGGTAAACTGTAATATTTCCACTGTAATAAATCAGGGGAGCTTTGAGTGTGGCATCATCCTGTTTTTATGGCTTTGAAATGGTTAAATTGAGTCTAGCTGGAAAAAATGTGTCTGGAGTGTACTTTAACGACAATTCAGTGCTGTTCTCTGCACAAAATTGAGTGTGTGAGGGGGAGGTTTCATTTTGATGGTGTATTTTATTCTTTCTCATTAAGGACCATTTCAAACAGTCCAAGCTTTAAAGATAAAGGTTTCATTGTGAGCAGTGCAGCGGTTCAGTGGGGCGTGTGCATTGGCTTCAGAGCTGGCCTCCCCTCCTCTGTTTTTCTTTCAGAAATATTTGAGTGGGATCAAACTGTAATAAGATCCAAGCTTGCTCAGAAACACACACAAGCACACGTAGTTGTCCACATGCATGTGCACAGACACACATACAACCCTATCCAACCTCCAGCCTGGCTGTAAATGGGCTGCAGGGAGGGGTGGGTTCACGGAAATGGAGTTGCTCCTGTGAATGGGGCCACACCAAAGGAGGCGAGCAGAAACTGCCCTGTCCTCTGATGTGAAATGAAACTCTCCTTTCTCATGGCCCACAGTGAGCATGCCTCCCCCTTTCGTACTAGGGTTCTAGCCAGCATGCGCAGTGTCATGTGGACAGGGAGTCAGACCTCTGATTTTGGGGGCTTGCAGGGAATTGCATTTCCTGTTAAGGGGTCTGCCATGGCTCAGAGGCCAGGACACTGAGAAGTTGACATGGCTACCTGGCACTGAAGCATTCAGTCAGCGAAGGCCCCCTCCTCCCCAGCGCACAGGCTGTCACCACCTCAGCATGGCCTGGCGACACTCCCTGAGTCAACAAATGAGGGGCTTGTCAGAGCGCGCACCACAATTCCTCAGAGACTCTGGTGAGGGAGGATCTAGACATGCTAGGCTTTGGTTTCTTCCAACTGTTTTTGCAGGCCAGGCCAGATCATTCTGCAATGACTGTGATAAACTTTGCAAAATGAACTCAGGAAAGAGAATGACCAGGGCCCAGCAGAGAGTTTTTCTATACTAAGAGGTTTCAGATACAAAAGCATTTCCATGTAGAATAAACATCAGCATCTTGTCAACGATATAGAAACTCCATCGTGAATAAGCTCTATTTCATCGTAACACCACAAGCTTGAAGGCCTCCATATAAAGCCTGCATACAGTAGGTCTGATTTAACATAAAACCTGCAATGCATGTTGTCATGTTATCCTCTGTGTAACATGCTGCTGACCTGGAGATGACTTTCCTTGTGAATCCCCCGCCAGCTTAGGTAGAGAGAGTGTCTGTGTGTAACCAGAGTTGTGTGGGATCCAGACTCCACCCCTCATGCAGGAACAAGTAAACCTCTTAAAAGCAAGTCTGGGGGGCACTGGCTGGGTGGGGTGCAGTCAAATAGTCGACTAGAGTTTGCAGCCCTGGGCTACAGAAATACCCGCCGAGCATTCTTTTGCGTCACACAATGGCACAGAAACAGATCGGAACTGGTTGGTGTGGTAGATAAGCTTGTTCTGCCACTTTACAGAATATATTCAGATCAATTTGAATAGGTATACTCCTTCTACTTCAGATTATTTAGTGTTTGTAAATATTCCATTAAACCAGTACGATCTATATCGTAAAGTTCCTGTTGCAGAGTTACAGTTACAGTTCAGATACATTCACCTGATCCCTTTGGTTAGTTTGTGCAGTTGTGCACTATGCTGAAATGTTTTTCAAAAGCTTCTCCATGTGCACAATGTTGTATTCAAGGTCAGTTTTATTTATATAGCACAAAATCACAGCAACAGTTGCCTCAAGGCACTTGATATTGTAAGGTAAAGACACTACAATGATACAGAAACAGGGAAAAGCCCAACAATCGTACGAACCCCCATATGAGCAAGCACTTTGGCAACAGCGGGAAGGAAAAACTCCCTTTCATCGGGAAGAAACCACCAGCAGAACTAGGCTCAGGAAGGGGCAGCCATCTGCAACGATCGGTTGGGAGTGTGGGGAGGAAGAATGTGTGTAATATTCATACCTCCTGATCCTATATGTGCACAGACATTTGTACTGTTTGCAGGATTTATTTAAAAGTGGCGGTGATGTCAGTTCACATCATGACTGGGTCCAGCTTTTTAGTAGATAATGTAGCTTAATGCTTTGTGAGTGTGTAGTGCTGCCTCTCACATTTTGCCTGCACATGCTTCCTCACTGCCTGGGCCTCGTTGTGTGGACATCGGTACACAGCCCTTTGATGCAGATCTCATTGCTTCCTGTATGACTGTCTGAGGGGGGGTTTCTACGCATCGACTTTATTATGTCAGTCACATTGTCTCTGACATTGGGGGCTCTTTATGCTTGTCACTGCTTCATTATATTGCTGTTCTGAGCAGCCATAAATGTGAGATATTTTTGCACTGGTACTTATTTCAGTCGCCAAGGATACATTTTTTTTTATTTTGGCCGTTGGCTTTTTTTCTGAGTAATTGTGACTACATGTAGTTATAACAGTATCTGTACTATTTATGTACAAGGAGTGATGCAGAACTTTCCTTTGTTTGAGCCTGTTTTAAGACAATGGCTCCAGTCTGCCTATATTCATCAGCCACTGGAGGGGTGTCTTCAATTAAGCCACCGGGATTTATCCATGTAAGACAATTTATAAAGGGTCATGCTGCTCTGAGCCGACATCACTGGTGTGACTGGTTGGACTCTCTCAGATAATAGTGGTTAAGTGACCAGAAGACATGTGTAGTGAGAAGGGTCCTTTTTAAAAAATGATTTTTCTCTTTTCTTCCCTTTTGAGTGAAGGGAAGGAGGAGGAGGGAAGCAATGACTGAAAGTTGCTGCTGAAGGAAAGAGGGCATAAGCAAGTAGTCACGGTTCCCACACAATAATCATAGATTGCTCCTCTGTGTCTGCCAGCCTGTCTCTGGTGGAAAGACCAGTGCTGTCTAGATGTCTTGTCTGCAGACAATCGCTGTCTCAGGTCCACTCTGCTATTTCTTTCTGGCGGAACGAAGCAGTTGGTAGATAGATATCTTTTGTCTCACTGATATGAGGCAACAGATATCTATTTTGCATTCACATGTATAAGCTAAGCGCATTAAATTGTTCTTATCGGAGCTGGTTTCACGAGAAGGCGAGCGCTAAACATCAAACCAGTCACTCTGTCTGCGTCAGACAGTGGAAATGCGTGGAATAATTAGACAGTCTAATCAAGGCATGTGATGCATCTCTTGATTAGAGCAGATTAGACTGGACACATTCCTGTTGATCTGACTTCGAAGGCATGTGATTCCCCTTGTGCTAGGATCTAATTAAACAGAAATTAAATAAATTAAAAGGCATGTCTACTGTACCAGCCCGCTCTTATCAGAGGGTGTCGGAAACTGCCATTTTGTCAAAGCCGCTGGCATCCTTTGGTGTCTGTCTTGTGACACTCTGGGCTTATGGCAATATTTAGACAAGTTTATTACTCCAATCTCATCATCGTATAAAATTCGCCAACTATGCAAAAAACCTAACCAAGTAGATTTGGTGCGTAAAGCGAGCCGGAGAGTGAAAGGAAAAAATAAAAACAAAGGGCAAACAAAGTAAAAAGAGGTAATTAACAGGACACAAACCATTTTGTCCCCACTGTTAACTTTGAATTGGCTTTTTTTTCTCTCTCTAGCCTAATTGTAACCCCTAGTGCCATCATATCAGTATCAGGGCAGGGATAGCTCAGTAGGTAAAGTGGTCGCCCCATGATCGGAAGGTCGGCGGTTCGAATCCACTTAACGGATACCCTGAGGTACCCTGAGCAAGGTACCGTCCCTACACACTGCTCCCCGGGCGCCTGCTTAGTGGGCTGCCCACTGCTTCACTGAGTGAATGGGTCAAATGCAGAGAAAAACAAGTAATTTCCCCATGGGGATCAATAAAGTATCCATTATTATTATTATTATCATATAGGCTTATTGTTTTTGAATATAAATAACTGTCATCTTGCATCTCTATCATTTGCACACGCTGTATATAAGACATCTGGCCTTCTCGGTGTAGCAGCAGGACCCTGACAGAGGTATGGTCTGGCATATGGTCTGCTGCATCAGCATGTTAGCGATGTCCCCCTCCCTCATCGAGGCATGAGCCCCTTCCTCCATCCTAAAGACCCCAGACTGATACAGCTCCGGCTCATCTCCCCTTGCAGCCTGGCTCATGGCCTCAGGTTTCCACCGCAGCCCAGAGCCTTCCCAGCGCCTGGCCGCCCACACTCCCTCAGGAGCCCAAATGCTCCAGGATACGGGATGTGGAAATAATGTGACTCGAGTGCTTCCACCCTGCCTCCCGAAATCAGGTTTTGCGGATTGTTTATTTGAGGGGAAGGAGGCCTCATACAAACATCCTGTTTTAAAAAGCTGCCTGGGTTTTGTAGCACTGCAGGGCGGTGAA